AGCACTGCAGAGTCTCTGTGGTGAATGTGGGATGTTCAGAGCCTCAGGTTTTCAGAACAGAAGGTCTGTTCGGTCTTGGCAGGCAGAAGAGTTTGAAGCTGTTTTGGATATACTGATGTTCCCCAATACCTCATTGTGGCTTCTCCCCTTGGCTCTTCTCCATAATCCTTCCCTTCTTCAGGAGCCTTCAGTCCCTGCTTCTCCCTGGGCAGTGATCAGTGCTGACTTCTGCAGCATGCCCTAAAGCTCAGCTTTGCTTAGGTTAGCTATTTTCCCTGGCACCAGAAGGAGAATATTCCCTGTTCTGCCATTTCTCCTGAGAGTAAGTGTTGAAGGAAGACACTCATTCCTTCTCCTCAAAGGAGACACTCCTCTGAACATTCCCTTTCATTTGAACACATTCCCTTGGTTTGGGGTGTTTCATATCAACACTTCTCCATACGGCTTTGCCTCCTTACCCAAACAAGATTCCAGTCAAGCAAATAAATAAATAAACAAATAAATAAATAGATTTTAAAATGTTAGATTGTTGTGAGGTGATTCAATACACTTTAAAAACTGATAAATAGAGCACAGTTTAATGGCATTAATCCCAAACTTCTAGCACCATTTTAGGTACCCTCAAACATTTTGCCTGGCACTCAGCTGCCAAGGGCAGACAGGTCCTGTGCCATATAATCCCCGTGTGCGTGTTTCAGATAATACAGATACTTCAGACACCTTTGGGTGTTCAAATGTAGAGTGCTAGGTAAAGACTAATGAGTAAAGACTCAAAAGTGAGAATTTTCTCACGCAATCTTTGAATTCTCAGTATGAGAATTCAAAGATTGCGTGAGTGGTTGCATCATTTTTATTTTCAGGAGCAGATTTACCCTCCTCTTAAATTCTTCTAATGTAATAATTTCCTTTCAATTTTAAGGAAATTTTTTGCAAAGGAGAAGTAAACTTGTCATTTAGATCTGTTTATTTTAGTTTATGGATTCACAAAGGTGTTATGTAGAAAGGAAATTTTGGCCTGAGGTTGTGCTGGGTTCAGCCAGGA